GTTACTTCACTTAGTATAACAGTTTCTAGTTCCATCCATTTACCTGCAAATTTCATGATTTTGTCTTTCTTTACTGCTGTGTAGAACTCCATTGTATGAATGTATCACCTTTTCATTATCTATGCATCAGTTGAGGGAACAGGTTGTTTCCATTTCTTAGCTATTGTGAAAAGAACAGCAACAAACATGAATGTACAAGTAAGTATCTCTGCAGTAGGATGAGTCTTTTGGATATGTGCCAACAAGTGGTATAACTGGATCATATGGAAGATTTATTTTTACTTTTTTAAGAGTTCTCCAAACTGCTTTTCATGGTTTTACCAGTTTGCAATCCCTCCAGCTATGAATCAGGGTTTCTCTTTCCCCACATTCTCACAATCATTTGGTATCATTTATTCTCTTAATCTTAGCAAGTCTGATGGGTAAGATGAATTTTAAAGTAGTTTTTATTTGTATTTCCCTAATTACTAAGGATGTTGAACACTAAGATATTTCTTCTTTTGAGAGCTTCCTCTTCAGATCCATAGCCCGTTTTTAAAATTGGGTTGTTTGCTTTCTTGATTCTTTGATTTTGAGTTCCTTATGTATTCTGGATATTAATTCTCTGACAGATATATATGTATAGAAGATTTCCTCCCACTCAGTTGGCTTCCTTGACACTCAATTGGTTGTTTCTTTTTCTTTACAGAAGCTTTTTAGTTTAATGAGGTTCCATTTGTTGATTATTGTCCTCAATTCTTGAGCAACTACTATCTGATTTTAGAAAGTCCTTCTTGTAGGGTACTACCTATATTTTCTTTTAACGGTATTTGCATTTCAGGTTTCACATTGAGGTCTTCGATCCACTTGAAACTGACTTTTGTGCAGGGTGATAGATAGGAGTCTAATTTCATTTTACTATATGTGGAGATCCAGTTTGCCATCACCATTTGTTGAAGGTGCTGTCTTTCCGCCAGTGTATGTTCCTGGTACCTATGTCCAGGTATCAGGTATCTGAAATTACATGCATTCATGTTTGAGTATCATATCCTGTTTTGTTGTTCTTCATGTCTGTTTTTGTGCGAATATCATACTGTTTTTATGACTGTAGCTCTGTAATATAGTTTGAAATTGGGTATGGTAACCTCCCCAGCATTGCTTTTTGTTCTCAGGATTGCTTAGCTATCTGGGGGGTTTTGTGTTTTTGTATGAATTTTAAGAATTTCCACCCCCCCCCCAATTCTGTGAAGACTGTCATGGCAATTTTGATTGGGTTTACATTGATGCTATACATTGCTTTTGGTAGGATGGTTATTTTCACATATTCATTCTACTAATCCATGAGCACTGGACTTTTTCCATCTCCTTATTTGTCTCTCAGTCTCTTTTTCAGAGGTTTAAATTTTTTATTGTAGAGATGTTTAATGCCTTGGTTAGGTTAGATATTTTATTTTGTTGAGGCCATTATGAATGGGATTGTTTCCATGAACTCTTTCTCCGATTGCTTGCTATTGGTATATAGAAAGGTTACTGATTTTTGTAAGTTGACTTTATAATCTCCCACTTTGTTGATCATTTCTAGAAATTTTCTGGTGGAATTTTTGGAATCTCTTAAGTATATTATAGCATCTGCAAATAGGAATAATTTGACCTCTTTTCCTATTAATACTCTTTTAATCTCCTTCTCTTGTCTTATTGCTCTAGCAAGAGTTTCAAGCACTGTATTGAAAAGGAATGGGGATAGTTGACAGCCTTGTCTGGTACCTGATTTTACTGGGAATGCTTCCAGTTTTTCTCCATTTATAATGATGTTGGTTGTGGGTTTGTTGTATATGGCTTTAATTTTGTTGAGGTATGTTCCCTCCAGTCCAATTCCTTCTAGGACTTTTATCATAATTGCATGTTGGATTTTGTCAAAAGCCTTTCCACATCTATTGAGATAATCAGGTGATTTTTGTTTTTAAGTTCATTTGTATGATTTGTTATACTTACTGATTTACATATATTGAACCATACCTGCATCTCTGGAGTAAAGCCAATTTGATCATGGTGGATGATCTTTTTGATGTGTGTCTGTATATGGTTTATGAATATTTTGTTGAGAATTTTTGCATGTATGTTCATTAAGGATACGGGCCTATATTCTTCTTTTACTTTGTTGTTTATCTGGTTTTAGTATTAGAGTAATACTGGCTTCTTAGAAGTAATTTTGGAGTTCTCCCTCTGTTTCTATCTTTTTGAGTAATTTAAGTAGTATTGGTTGAAGGTCTGGCAAAATTCTACTATGAATTCATCTAAGCCTGGGCTTTTGTAGTTGGGAGGTTTTATATTACTGTTTTGATTTTCTTATTTGTTATGGGTCTGTTTGAGCTGTTGATTTCTTCTTGGTTTAACTGTGGTTCTATTTCTTTTAGATTTTCTAATTTAATATAATTTTTTAAAAGTATTGCTTAATAATGTTCTGTATCCTTTTGGGGTCTGTTGTGATGTTTCACCTCTGATTTTGTTAATTTGGATTTTCTCTTTCTTTCTTTTGGTTAGCTGGACCAGGAGTCATGCTTATGTGTTCAAACAATTGGGTCTTAGATTCATTGATTCTTTGTATTATATTCTTTCTCATCTGTTGGGTTTGGATTTGGGTGGTTCTTACTTTTCCAAATTCTTGAGTTGTACTTTTTTTTTTTTTTTTTTTTTGGTGCTCTTTCTGATTTTTAAAAAAATTTTACTTATTATTTTTATTTTGTGTATGCATGTATTGCCTGTGTGTAGGTAAGTGCACCCATGTTGTGCAATGCCCATGGAGGACAGAAGAAGCTGTTGGATCCCCTGGAACTGGAGTTATGGACAGTTGTTAGCTGCCATGTGGGTGCTGGGATTCAAAACTGGGTCTTGCAAGACCAGCCAGTGTTCTTAACTACTGAACCATCTCTCCAGCCCTTATTTCTGTTTTTTTTTCAATTTCGGAGTAAGATTATTTGTTTTATTACATTCACATACTGCATTTTCTTTTTTTTTTAACAAATACTTTATTGAGAATTTCATACATGCATATGAGGTGTTTTGATCAAATCCATGCCCACTCTCTTCCTTCCAACACCTCCCATCTCTCCCCATCACTTTTTTTCTTTTTGCTTTTTTTCTTCTTTCATTTATTTATTTTTATGGGGCTTTTGGCTACTCTAACGTTCCCTCCTCTGAAGAGGTAACCCTAAAATCTTTAAA